CTTTTTCCCCCCTTGTTCTGCCTAGCTACCCGTTCACGCTGCGCCAGTATCTGCAGGAGAACACTCCGGATGTTCGCCTCTCCACAGTGATGATTCTACAGCTCTTGGAAGGCGTGGACCACCTTGTTCGACATGGAATAGCACACAGAGACCTCAAGTCTGACAACATCCTGGTTGAATTCGATTCTGGTACGTAGATCCCTGAGGATAAATGCCAGTTAATTCCCAGAAGTGATTCGGTCACATTGGTGTTCAGGGAAGTCTCACCCAGCTGTGTGTCTGGGGAAAGAAGCATCAAACCTTTTGAATAATCTCAGGTTTAGTTTTTAGCTTAGTATTTGCCATGAGGGCAGCAAGTCATTGATCCTGTCTGTGCATTGATCCGGAGGTTTTGGATCATTAACAGGGACATAGTGTATTGCTGAGATGATGGATTGCATGAGCACAGCCAACATTGACTGGAGCATCCGGGAACACCACATTTAGGATGCTGCAGGAGCCTTTGCTTCAGGCTCTTGGTTCTGTCATCTTTCCCAAGCTAAAGAGTACAGGGAGCCTCTTAAAATCCCACCCTATGGCCAGGTTAATGGTGCTGCACCCTGGGATGATGAAACATGTGTTAGGGGGAAGGGATGCAGCATTTTCATCAACATGTTCTCCTGTTAGTCTCTGAACAGCAGTTTTAATTACCTTAGCTCTTTTTTGATGTGATTGAGTTTCAAATTGGCAGGAACAATAGGAGGCAGGCAGGTCAGTGTGATTAGGAGGGGAAGAATTTGATTGAACAGGATCAGGGAGAGAGACAGAGACCACTAGAATCCACCCTACCTTCCAGGAGACTGGCCCAAGAGGTGACAGAGGATTCCCCAGGGCTCAGGATTTAGAATCATAAAATCATGGAATGGCCTGGGTTGGAAGGGGCCTTAAAGCTCTTCTCATTCCAACTCCCTTCCGTGGACAGGGACACCTCCCACTAGACCAGGTTATTCTACTGAATGTCTTTGTGCACAATCTTGATGAGGGGATTGAATGCCCCCTCAGTCAGTTTGCAGAGGGCACCAAGCTGGGTGTTGATGTGATGTGGTGTTTGGTGCTGCCAGGTCCTCCGAAACTGAACCCTAACTGGCAGCTCTGTGTTGTTCACAGCTGGCTGCCCCTGGCTGGTCATCACTGACTTCGGCTGCTGTTTGGCAGATGAAAACATCGGCCTGAGGCTGCCCTTCACCAGCTCCTATGTGGATCGGGGTGGCAATGGCTGCCTTATGGCACCTGAGGTAAATCCCTCTGTAGCAGTGCTTTGTGGTGCTGGTTTTCTGCTTGTCCTGCTGTTGGGGCTAAAAGTTTTGGTGGCATAGAAGGTTTGTGTCCTATGTTCAGTTAGGCTTGGTGAATATCTGTGCTGAACTATGTCAAATAGACACCTTGAGCTCTAACAGGTGAAACGTAATCAGTTAGTGTTAAGAGGCAGAATCAGCCTCCCCTCCCCCAAATTTACTCTTTAGTCTTTATTCAGGCCCCTTTCCATGTAACTAGTAAGAGTTTTATGCAGCAGTTCTTGTGTTGCAACAGTAGCTTTTGGCTGAAGTTCAAGACGGTTGTGAAATTATTTACAGTTCCTTTTTATTTATTTGATGATAAGAAATAATAAAAGCCAAGACACCCTTAAATGTCTGCTGGACCTGGAGCACCTTGCCATGGTGTTGGTTGTTCATCTCCAGGTCTCCTGTCTCCATAATTCCAGCAGGAGATAGCCCTTGGGACTCTGGAATGCTGGTCAGGGACAATGGCTAAAGCCTCAGTGCAATGTTCAGACTCCTCCCAGCATCCCAGTGGGCTGAGCAGTGCCAGAGGCTTAGAGCATGCCAATAGTGAATATTTACAGCACAGATTCAGATGCAACCACCTTTGGGTTCAGTGTCTTAAGTTTATTACAGGTAAATGCAGGTTTGAGCATTAAGAATCGAATTTCAGCAGAGGCTGCACTCGAGCTGTTTATCTGAGTAGCCCCCTCTCTGTGGCAGGTGATCACAGCGTCACCTGGTCCAGGCATGGTGATCAACTACAGCAAAGCTGATGCTTGGGCTGTTGGAGCGATTGCCTATGAAATCCTGGGCCTGGCCAATCCTTTCTATGGCCACGGGGACTCCACTCTGGAAAGCAGAAGTTACCAGGAGGACCAGCTGCCAAGCCTACCCAACCATGTTCCCCTTGAGGTGAAGCAGGTGATAAAGATGCTGCTTCAGAGAGATCCCAACAAGGTAAGAAGCTGCTTCCCTCAAGATATCCTCTTTGGGAGTACCTGTGGTGGATCATTTTGCCTTGGAGGGCTGTGGGTGCAGGGGTTAGTCCAGATCTGACTGGAGGATCAAAGGACAAGATGAGGATCAAAGCCAAAAAAGTCTTTGCTGAGTGGTGCTGAATTGTTTAGAAGTTTGTGTCAGGACCAGACCTCACACTGCAGGGTTCCACACAACATTATATATGTACAGTAGTAGTGTCAAAGAGCTTTCTGATTCACAGGGTGTTGCCTTGGGGGGGGGGCCCAGGGAGTTTTGGAGGTGCCAATGCTCCGTGCTGGTGATGTGGCCGAGTGCAGCAGGATCAGCTAATCTCCCCTCCCCTTCCCTCCCTTTCCCCTTGCAGAGGTTGTCTGCGAGAGTGGCTGCGAACGTGCTGCACCTGAGCCTCTGGGGTGACAGTGTTGTAGCATCCAGGACCCTGAAACCTGACCAGATGATCGCCTGGCTGCTCTGCCAGTCTGCAGCCACCCTGCTCACCAGCAGGCTGGCAGAGAAGAGCCAGGTAGAAACCAAAATGAAGATGTGCTTCTTGGCAAACCTCGAGTTTGAAGACCTCTGGGCAGCAATATTCCTGTTGCTGGCGTGGAGAAGCCACTCTGGGTGAAGGAACCACCTGCAACACGAGCATCCCACATAAATGGCACTTTCTAAAGGCACATAGGAACCTGTCCTTTCTGTCTGTTTGGAGTCCTGTAGTGCTTTAGGGAACAAGCTGCAGGCCTGTGTTAGGAGCTTGAGTTTCTCTCTAGCAAATGTTAACCATGCTGCTTTTCTGTCCCTGCTAGAGGAGATGCCCTTGCTTCCTTACCCTCTGGGGGGGTGGGCGTGTGGACCTTGCAGGTGTCCAGAGGTACGTGGTTGGTTTTGCTCCCGTTTGGGAATTGACTTGTAAGTTGTGTGTTGAGTGAAGCAGATTCCTTTCAGAGGGGTGACTGGGAGGAGGCACTGTCTGGCTGCATTTTACAGAGAAACAATTTAAACAACACACAGAAATCTAAGCTGACAAAGGGAACTGGAACTGCAGTCTCTGTTCTTGGGGTAACCAGGGTGGTTTGAAACTCGTTTTCTTCTGAGCTATGAAATGACAGCCTGAAAACTTCCTGATGAGGTGCTGCCTGGTAACGTGAGCGTCGGCAGCACTAAAAACCTCGCAGTTGTACGCAGGATAGTGGAAGCACATCATCCTCAAATCCCACTTATCGTTGTTCTTAACTGTTGTAGCTCTGTGGTGGTGGCTGCCCTGGGGTCCAAGGCTGAGTCAGACTCTCCAGTTAGGGATAATGCTCCAAACAAAGTGAGGCTGGGCAGCAGCCCCTGCTTAAAGAGCTTAGTGTGATGCTCTGCTCTTTTACCTGCCTGTGTTTCCTTCAATTAAATAATATCCTTTGATGGGGAGGACGGAGACATCAGTCTTTAAATAACAACAGCCATGTTTATGAAACAGCATTCAATTTCATGGCTATAATTGTGTTCAGAGGAACTTGGGGAGAAAGTTATTTATGCTTGTTGCACAATAAATTAAAGATTTAATGTGGCTGTGTGGGTTCTCTCAATCCAATTTGGGCTGTGGAGCGTTCGTTCCGGGGTGTCTTAAGTGCAAATTCAGCTCTTTCCAGTGCTAACTGTGGAACATGGTGTTCTACTCCAAGGGGAATGTCCCAAAGAGGAACAGACCCTGCTGTGGGGCTGTGTTTTGTACTCTGCTGCATGGTAAATCACTCTGCTCCTGCAGTTTCCAGGTGGATGACAGTAGCTGATACCCCTAATCATCACAGGGTAACCTGCACTCAGGGTTCTACACATTGTTCCAGTGCAGCAAAGAGTGCAGAGCCTGGGGAATTGGGGGAAATGAGCTCCTGGGGGGGAAAGCTGCAAAAAAAAGACCTTTGTAACATTGACCTGACCCAACCAAAGTTTCTGGTGCTGTTTCTTGCACTACTGAGCTCTAGCAGTATGTTTCTGCTGCCTTTGCTTTGTGTGTGCCTGGGTCTGGCAGTGAGTCCCATGTTCTGGACACTGTGGAGCTTTTGAGGCGTAAATGGTGTTGCTGTGTGGTGGATCTACCCTAAGCCCTCTTTCTGCCATGAACATCATTCCCATGTCTTTTCTTCCCTCTCCCAAGTCCAGTCTCTATACAAGTAGGGAGCAGAATTACGGGCTGGAGCCATCCAGTATCGAGTGTGTTTGTATTTGCCCAACCAGGGTTTTATCTGCACTGATGAACTCCACTCATTGGAAACTTGCTTTCCCTGGAAACAGTTTCAATTCTGTCCTCAAAAATGGCCTAAAATGCTTGTCCTGCAGCTTGTCCCTCAGGTCCTTAAATCCCTGTTAATGCTTACCCTGTTGCTTGCATTTTGTCCCCCCCTGTGGTTCTGCTGAGGTCAGACTTCCCTTTTGTTTTCTTTCCCTTCTGCCTTCCACTAACGAGACATTTTTATGATTTTTCAGCATTCTGGGTGCTTTTGTGGAGTGCAGGCTAAAAGTACAGACTGTTATTGCAGCAAATGCTACTGTGCTGTCTGTCTGTAAATGCCCAAGGGGAGCAAACTGGAACATCTCCCAGCATGTCCCTCCCACCCTGTCCCACTAATCCCTGCACAGGCTCTTGCCCCTCACTGCTGTGTTTGTTCCCAGTGTTTGCCAGGACTATGCCATTGGGAAAGGGGGTGGCTGGGAGGGTGAATGTGGAGGCTGGGCTGGATTTCTGCTCTTCCCTGGGCAGTGGAGTGTCCGGTGCACTTTGATCCCCGGAGAGAGGCTTGGCAGAGGCAGCTGGCACTCTGCCCACGCTGGGAACGGACTCCACAGCGCGCCTCGCTGCGTTCCCAGTGGGACAGAGGGTGGGAGTGTGTGAGTCAGGATGAAGCCTCTGCTCTGGGCTGCCTGCAGCCAACTGCTGCCCCGGGGAGCTGGGCTCTGCACTCCCAAGCCAGCTGTGACCACTGTGGTGACTGCATCACACCACAGCCTGTGACCTCCGGCTCTTCTGGCTGCCTCCAGCTCCCCAGCCAGTATGTCTGCAGGGTTCCTCCAGCCCCTGGTCCCAGGGAGCAGAGCCCCCCAGCTGCTGGAGCTCACAGTTCAACGTGCCCCCCAGTGCCCTGCTCGTGGCCAGACCTGCGGGGGTTTGCTCCATGATGAGGCTTCCCATGCAGGCGTCCGCGGAGGGACTGGACGTGGCGTTTGTCGGTGTCCCGCTGGACACAGGCACGTCCAACCGTCCGGGAGCCAGGTAAGGGCCAGCCAGGGAAGCTCATGCTTCCCTCTGGCCATCGAGCACGACTCTCCCGTGGTGAGAGGGGTGCTGGGAACAATGCCGGTGGCATTTCCCGGCCATGTCATTGCCCAGGTTCGGCCCGCGTCAGATCCGTGCCGAGTCAGCCATGGTGAGGAGGTACAACGGCAGCACCGGGGCGGCGCCCTTCGACTCCCTGCGGGTGGCTGACATCGGGGACGTGAACGTGAACCTCTACAACCTGCCCAACAGCTGCCGCCTCATCCGGGAGGCCTACCAGGAGATCGTGGCCTCCGGCTGTGTGCCCCTCACCTTGGGTAAGGAACCTGTGTCTCCCCGTCCTTCCAGTGTCCTGGCTCCGTCAAACTCCCTCTGCTTCTTCTGTCATTCAATCCAGGCTTGGCAGAAGGCAAATGATGACTCTGTTCCCTGCCTGGGCTGTTGTGCTGTATCAAGGGCAAAAACACAGGCTCTCCACTGTTCTTTGATGCCTCTTCCTTTGGGTCAAAAATGAGGAGGATGAGTCTGTCTGCAAATAAAACCAGTGACGTGTTTTTGGTGTCCTGTTGAGCAGGTTTTGGTGTCCTGTTGAGCAGGTTTTGTCCCTTGTGTCCCTCCAGCTGAGTGAGCACCAGGCTTTGCAGGAGGCCTGATTTGGGTGCATGTTCAAGTTTGCAGCTGTTAGTGCTTGGCATCGCTGAAGGAAGCGAGTGTGTGGAGTAATGAGGGGCAAGTCACCAGTTACAGCATTCTCAGAAGCTGATCAAATGTCTATTTATATGCCCAATCAAGAGTTCTGCTCCACAGGCTGTCCCTGCTGGCAGTCCTGCATATCTGGTCCTCCCTAGAAGGAAGACCAGGAGAAGAGAGGACCCAGGAGAGGAAGCAACCTGCACACGGGAGTGTTTTCCTTTGGCAATGAAGCCCTTTATAAATAACTGCAGGATAAATGCAAAGAGGGAAAAAATTACTTGGGAACAAAAGTTATGAGCACTGAGCAGCTCCTATAGTGTATTCCCCCTCTTCCCTGTGTCTTCTTGTAGGTGGAGATCACACCATAACATACCCAATCCTGCAGGCCCTGGCGGCAAAGTAAGTTTCTAATCTGGAGATGGAGAGAAAAGACCTGGGAAAGAGCCTCAGCAAGGCTCCTGGTTTGCTGTCCCTGCTGTTGGCAGGGCCACCATGCACGGGACAGGACTAGCGTGGCCACCCTGTCTCGATCAGGCACGGTCCTGTGGGACTGGTGCACGTGGATGCTCACACCGACACCGGGGACACGGCTCTGGGGGAGAGGATCTACCACGGGAGCCCGTTCCGGCGCTGTGTGGAGGAAGGGCTGCTGGACTGCGGCCGCGTGGTTCAGATCGGCATCCGAGCTCCTCCTATGACCCCGATCCCCACAAGTACTGCCGGGAACAGGTAAATTGATCCGCACACGGAGCTGTGTGCTCCCCCTGCCATAAATACCACGTCGGTAACATTTACTTGGCTTCAGAAGGGGAATAAATGCATTTTTTGCCTCTTGTTCCATGCCAGCGGCTTGTCTGCAGGACAGGCACTCCCAGCTCACTGAGTGTCAGCTGAGTGGAGGGTTAGAAAGTGTGTGTGGGGGGAGGAAGGTGTTTGCAGGTGCACTTCTGCAGCTGTGCCCTGGAATATTCCCAGTAGATATTCTCCAGCAGGGCAGGGGATGCTCCCTATCTCCCTCCTTTCCCTAAGCAGGTGCCTGTGTGTCTGTGCTCCCACAGGGTTTCCGCCTGGTCCTAGCTGAGGAGTGCTGGATGAAGTCCCTGGAGCCGCTGATGAGGCAGGTGAGGGCGCAGATGGGGGACAAGCCAGTGTACATCAGCTTCGATATCGATGGGCTGGACCCCGCCTACGCCCCGGGCACCGGCACCCCGGAGATAGCTGGGCTCACACCTGTGCAGGTGAGGGGGAAAGGGCTGCCCTGCCCAGGGGGAAAGGGCTCTTTTGCTCCCTTTAAAGGAGGTCGTTTCACCAGCACAGCAAAGTGGAAGTTTAGGGAGGCCAGGAAGTGTTTCCTCATGGTGATGAGGAAGGAAAATGTGGAACTGATATGATTTGGTCTCTAGAGGTTGGGTTTCCTTACTGGAATATGGGAATATTTCAGCTGAACCCTGGCTGAAAGGGGACGTTACCTCTGGTAAAAAAGCAGAGCCTGGGCTGATCTGCTAGGTCAGATGTGTTTCTTGATCCCAAATCCATTTTTTCCCCTAGGCTTTGGAGATTATTCGTGGCTGCAAAGGACTGAACATAGTGGGGTGTGACCTTGTGGAAGTCGCACCAATGTATGATGTCTCTGGTAAGTCTGAAGGTGCCTGAGGGCAAGACAAGTGCCTGACACAGATGTGCTGTGGGTGAAAGCCATTGGATATACAGAGATTTCCTTTTTTTGTCTTGTTTTTTTAGGCAATACAGCTCTCCTGGGGGCAAACCTACTGTTTGAGATGCTGTGTGTCCTCCTAGGAGTGAAGGCACTGTGAGGGCAGTTCCCACCTGCCCTGGGGCAACGCTTCTCCGTGTCCTCAGCCAGGCTTTCCACGTCCCCTTCCCTTCAGGCAGCTGCAGCCAGCATGGGCTTTGCAGAATGAAATAAATGCCATTCACCACTAGAAAAGGTACTTTTTAGCTGGGAAACTGTAAGGAACAGGCTAGATACCCCATTTAGCTGGGGTCTGGAGCTTTGGAGCCGGCCTGGGAAAGGCATAGATGAGGCTAATGCCATTTTGCCTCTGGAATGATTCACCCAGCTCACAGGGCTCCTGGAAAAGCTGTCACTGGTAAAAGGTTTGTCCCATTAGGATGTTGCAGCAGGACAATGAATGTAGAAGAAGGGAGGACGTGAAGGGGGCCTGAGACTCTTGCTGAGAGTGGGGAAATATTTGACTAGATTGCCTGCTGCTGGAATAACCGGGAGTTTCCTATGGCAGGAGCAGTTTAACTCTCCTGAAATTTCTGAGAGGACATGCAGGTGAGGTTAGTTTGTACATGGAGACACAGAGCCACCGCATCACACATTAAAATAGTTTATTTTGTAATTGTCTTAAAACAAAATGACATCAGTGCCTGTTCACAAATACAAAAACAAAACAAAACCCCCCAAAAATAAAAAAAGACAAGTTTGCCAAATAAGTTAATTCCCCCCCTCCCAGTATCAAAAGTGCAAAATAGGTACCTAGTTCTCAGTCCTACTTGTCAGGCTGCGCTCGTGTCCTGGCTCCTGGTTGCTGTGGGTGAAGGGCAGAGACAGGGACAGGGAGGAGTTTGGGAACAATCTCCACTCTGGGGCCTGTATCCCTTTGCCTCAGCTCTGAGCACTGTGCCATTGCTCAGATCTCACTAGGAAAGTGCACTAAGACCCAATCTCCTCAATCTTTGGATTACGAATCACCATGTGTGGAACAGAACCACAAGTGTTTAGAAAATGATGGGGTGATGGCTCATGCTGCTGGGAGAGGGCAGATCCCGGGATAAGCAGCTCGGACGGTGGTCTCAGGACAGCAAACACCCGGAGTGCCATGCTGGCACTGCAGCCAACTAAACCAGGGGGCAGAGCAGCTTGGCTTTTGCTTCAAATCACGCAAAAGCTTCCATAAAAATCCAGGAGCCGTGCTCCTGTCCAGCCCCAGCCAGCACAGGTGGACTGATGCAAGCACTCCCTCCGCTGAACCCTGGCTGAAAGGGGACGTTACCTGTGCTAAAAAGAAAATAAACCCAAGGATTCTGGCAGCATGCACCACACACAATGGATGTGAAGGTCATAAAGCCTTCTCCCCTTCCTCAGGGTTGGGCTGAATTCCCTCACTGTAGCATAACTAGGCACTTTTTCATGAGTTGAGGGTTTTCTCCTTGTTTCTGATCAGCTGAAGAAACGGCAGAGAGCCAGAGAGCATTCTTCTGCTACTGCAAATGTTTAAGACGTTATGTGGAGCCTTCTGCTGGGCTGAAAACTATTCCAACCACATCCTGCATGGCAAGCTGTGGGAAAAGTGCAGGAGTGCTGCAGTCATTGCTCCAGCCAGATGGAAATGAAGTCTAGAAGCATCAGGCTGGTGTTTCACTCCCTCTCTGCTGTCAGTGCTGCCTGTACACCTTCACAGGAGCTTCACAGGAGTTCCTGGGCAGGGAGAAGACCTCACCTTCCTTCCTTTCCTCTACTTGAGTGCCTCATTCCGAGGCCCAGAGTGCACTGGGCTGGAATTAACTAACCTCACGTAGGGATCGTTTGTAGCATCGCAGCCTTTATTTGAAGCACGTTGTACAGGGCTTCTGAGGTACCTGTGGGGATTGGAGCACGCCAGTCTGCTCCCAGGATGGGGAAATTCAATGAGGCAAGGCCTTGGGAGCAATTAGGGCATGTGGGGAGTGCAATGACTGGAGCATTCCCGGCTTCTGTGTGGGATCAGCAGCTAGCTCAGGGGTTGGCAGTTATTCCTGCTGACTGGCTGCTCTGCTAAGATGGTAACTAAGGTGGCAAGGGCTAAGTCTGGAATTAACACCATGTGTTCACTGAGTGCTCTGTGTTCCAAGCCCTGTGGCAAAGGCCACTGGCCCCCATCCCTGTCCTTTGGCAGTGCTGGAGCCCAATGGTGCTCCAGATCCATGGAAGGAGGAGGCCTAGGTGCCAGTGTCAACCCCGGAGCAGTGAAAAGGAAGAAAAAAACCTCACAGAATTTCAGTCCTTGCCACAAAGAGAAGGCCTGCTGCCTCACTTGGTCACTCGAGGAGTGTTAAGCAGCCATGAGGCTGCTGCTTGTCCTCCCTCTGCCTTACCCAGGGGCACCCTTTCCCTGTGATGCTGGAAGCAGCTGTTGGGGCACTGCTACAACAAAGCAATGTCCAAACCCAGGGCTGTGCAGCTGCTCTAACCACACACACCCCCAGCGCTTCCATAAGATAAAAGAAATACCCAAGCAAACAAACACAAAGCCACGGGAGCAGCCTGAATGTGCAGAAATGGAGGTTTGGGGTAAGAAGGAAATGGGTGAGAGGCTGAAACCCAACATTTCAACCCCCAACTAAACCAAAGGAGCTTCACACACACGCAACAGTCTGATGATACAGCACTTCTGGGGCAACATTTCAAGAATACAATCGTTGAAGGATGAGGTTCCTTGATACAAAGGAAGGTTGGTTTGTACTACAGCTGGAAAGGTGTTTGCAAGGAGCTTGGGTGACTCCCTGGCAGCTATGTAGAGTTTTTTTACACATCTACTGGCTCATAGCAGCTCACGCCTACAATCTGAGGACGCAGGTAAAGTTATGGCTCTAGGATACATCGTCTAAAATCGACAGAAGCAGAAAAGGCATCTGAAAAATCAACGTGACATTTAAATGACTCAACACTTTGACAGTATTTTACGGCCGTGCCCTTTCCCTCCCTGTTATGGTTCAGCCAGTGAAGCTGCAGGTGGAACCATGACACGAGGAGCATGAAACATGCAGATTGCCCACAAGCCCGCACCATGGGGGGGGGTCCCAGCTAAGGTTTGCTACAAGGGAGATGCTCCTAACCAGATTCTGCATCACTTACCATGGGGAAAGCCGAAAGAGTACCACTGCCTGGTGGGAGGAGGCCTTTCAGAAGGGCAGGGCCTGGAGGGTCTGCAGGGTCTTGCCAGAGTTACACCATGCACCATGGGCTAAGCACACGGGGACGGGAAGGGAGTACTGCGACCCGGCCTGCGTCACTGGCCGCAGCTGGTCCGGACCCGGGGAAGTCGGGGATTTCTTCAACCAAGGTAAAACAAGAGGTGGGATGGGGGCGACTTGGGAAGCAGATGTGGCAGGACGAGAAGCGCAAAACAGACTTCTTGGCTCTTCGGTTGTACAGCGTCCAAACGCACGGCGGGGCGGTGGAGGGCACGTGGGTGCGCCTGGCTGCGCTCCCAGGCTCCGGACACGGGAGGCGTGTTCTCGTTGCCGGCCCCAGGAAAGTTCATCTAAAACCTAAGGTCCATTCATCAAGCTTGTTTGAGTATTCCTGGAAAGAGCTGTCCCTTGTCATCTTCATAAAAAGTTTGTCCCCTTAGAATCTCTGTAAAATTCCTCAGTCTAGTGCAGGCCATGAGGGGATATAGAACCTCTGTAAGGAACCCTCTAGAAGGCGTTCCATCCAAAAGGACAATTTGTGTAATTTGTTTTTAATGGATCTGGATCCTGGACTGCAGGAGGATTTCCCTCTGGCTTCCGCATGTTGTAAAGCATCGTAATCCTCGCATGATCCCAGGGTTCCCCCCTCGTCCCCTGATCTGTGAGGCTTAAAGAGGCAGAAGTATTTCTTGTGGCCGTTCAGAGCCAGGACATAGCCTGTGTAGTCACGCTCAAGGAAATGCTTGTCGTACTGGTTTGGGATGGGGGCCGCATCCTGTGCAAACTCCAGCAGGTACTCCAGCCACTCTCGGTGCTTGTCCAGGCTGAGGAAGGAGAAGTGAAGAGAGCTGCTCCTGGGGGGAAGAGCAAAGATACTGGGATTAGCACAAGTCCTGGGTCTGGCTGGATTCCTACTGGACAGGTAAGGAATTGTCAACAAGGGCAGGGCAGTGCTGTGTTGCTGCAGCTCCTTTTTCAGCTCAGTGTATGCAGCACTGTCTTGCTTTCTATTTGTCAAAACACGGTACAGTCAAAGTAGCACCAGCTTCTGACCCCTCTGGCTACCACCACCAAGTCTGGCTGGGAACAGCCTCTTGCTTTTTGGTGGCTCATTGCCACCAAATGATGAGGGCAGAGGCCACCATGATCACCAGAAGCATTCACTCCTGGCAATGGAGCCACCCACGCTCCTCACGTATTATCAGAGCAGCATCACGTAAGTGGTTAATACAGCAACAGAAGCCTGGGAGAGGGCCCAGCCTACCCTGTGAACATGTAGACTTCCAGGGCAAACTTCTGGAGCAGGGGGGTTTTGGTGGAGTTGGACAGGATCAAGACGACGTTCATGTGCCCTGGCCTCAGGCGCACCAAGTTACTGGTGTAGTTGATGTCCGTTAGCTCAGTCACCTCCACAAAGCTCTTTTTGGGAATCCTGCTGCAACAAAAGACTGAATGAAAGCGGGGCAAAGGACTGGGAGCAACTGAGGATGGAGAAACGAGTGCATTTGCCAGCCCGTTATGCTGAGCCATGCCTGTGCCCTGTAGCAAAAGCCAATGTAACTGGTGCAATAGCTTGGTTGGCACCTCTCTGAATGAGTGGGTCAGACCTTTACCTATCCCCTGAGGACGCTGTCTTGGGAAAACTTGGTGGGAATTGTTTAATAAGCAGATTAGTGTCCCCCTGTCCTTGCTGGCTGAGTCCTGGCTGCACACTGGTCCTCCTTCCTTGCTGTGCCTGTACTGCCCTGCACAACAACTGCACTATGTGCAACTTCAGCACTTCTCTGCTCTTCACTAACCCTCCCTGCACAGGTTCTCCCTGAGCAATGCTTCTGCAGAAAACATTCTGGAAAAGTTAGACAGGGAACCTGTTGCTCTCTTTGCTGAAGCTTGCATCGTTCTTCTCCATCTTTGCGGCCGTTTCTTCTTTCCCCGAGGGTGGAGCATCCCTTGTGTCACTTGAATCACTGCAGAGGAAAGTGATTTTGTGTTTAAGGCCTTGGGGTTGGACTGAAGAGCTATCCCTGAGGGCATTTTGGTGCACACTCACCTGAAAGCCTGAACAATAACAGTACCAAAGAGAATGAAGAGCGCAGAGAAGAGCAAGGACAGGAGTGGCATCATTTCTCGCCTGAGGGAAGATGTGCAAGCAGCAGTCAGGTCTGTGAGTTCACATTTTCTACCTCAATTTCAGTTCCTGCCTATGTCAGATAACACTGTGTGCCTTCCCCAGAAACTCAGCTTGCTTCTTTGGTCTTAAAGGCCATCATGTTTTTGAGTGCTGTCCTGCTCCCACCCAAAAGGATGGTAAAATTGGATCTGTTTTAAAATAAGGTGACAAGGAAGCAGTGAATACCAACAATGGATGCCCAATCCATACCAGTTACTGTGAAACAAACTGTCCCACCAGTCTGAGACGTAGTCCACTGTGGAGTAGAACCATCGGATAAGGAACATCTGTTTGAAAAGAATGAAAGGCAAAAAACGAAATGACAAAACTGCTATAAAGAGCCCCAACAGTTTCACAGAATGCCATGAGATTTCTTCTGTAAGCAAGAAATCTTCTAAGAGTTTTTCCTTGTTATTTTAAAATATAAATAATGCCTCTGAACAACCATAATGGGACTGTCCACAAAGGTAACACGGATGTCAGGCATCTGGAAAGGCTGTGCACTTACAGGAGCGAGCTCATCATTCAGGTCTGCCACAACAGTCTCTGATGACAGAAGGCCAGGGTCTGTCCTCAGCTGGTCCAGGAGATCCAGGAGGATGAAGTTGTCCTCTTTGCTGCCTTGCCAGGCCTCCTCCAAGGCTTTATAGGCGATCTTCCCTGCATTATTGCGTCTCTCCAGAATGACCACCTGGATGAGCCAAGAGCATGGCACACATCAGAGAGGAAGGGGCTTTTGTTTTCTTCTAGACAGATGATTCATTTCAAACCACTGCCCAGAATCAGGTGTCAGATCAAGGTACAGCATCAATTAAATAACAGGCTAAGAGAAGAAGGGATTAAAACAATAAAAGGAAACCCTCACAGCTGGTCTTCCATGATACTTCTCCTCATCCATCAACAAGGCGTCCGCAAATTCCGGCTGCCGATCACTGTAGATGTGCACAAACCTCAGTGTGTCTTTTGTGTTAGCCACAGCAAAAGTCAAAAATGCCTCATAAGCCTCGGCAAACTTCTCTCCTTCCTCAGTAAGCAAGACCACGCAGTGCCTGGGTGACACAATGAGATGAGGGATTAAGTGCCAGTCTGGAGGTGAGAGGGAATGACCAATCCCTTTCCTCTTGGCAGAACAATCCTGATGAGCCCCAAACCTCTCTGACAGTGTGGATATTGAGCATGATCCAATGCAGTCATTGCTCTTTTCCCACAGAATCAAACCAAAAGTGACTCTAGGAGCAGCCCAAGAGCCTTGGGAAACAAAATGGGAACACCTGACTTACTTCCGCTGACGGTGAGACTTCTTCACAGGACACAGCTCCTGGAACAGCCTCTGGCTGGTGAGTCTGGCCACCATGAGGAACTTATTCTGGGAAAGGAAGTCATCAATGAGCTGCTTCTTCATTTCTCGTGCCTGCCAAGGACCAAGAAGGCAGAAGTCGGAAATGAGCAGGAAGAGGAGGGGAAAGCTGTTGGATGTTCCTGGAGAAGGCTGCCAGCCCTTGCGGTCATCCCTGCAATCACCCAAGATGTTTTGAGGCCCCAAGACTGGGAAGTTACAAATGTCCCCGCTCCCCATCAGGCTGGAGTGCCCCAAGCTTCCCTTGTCCTAACTCTCTCTTCCTCCAAAGGCTGATTTTAAGCTGAGAACAAACACTCTTCCTCCAAACTGCACCACTGACCACCCCCTCATCCCCAGCTCAGTCAGAAAAGCTCCGTGCCCATTTTCCCTAAGCTCTTGGAGAAAGCTCTGAGTGATACCTGCACAACGTCAGCAGGCCTGTCGATGTGCTCCTTGAAGATCATCATGGTGGGAGTGTAAACGTTGATGTTGTACTGGCTGGACAACTCCTCGGTGCCTCGGAGTCCGACGTACACGTAGCCAAAGGACAGGTAATCTCGGTAGGCAAAGGCCGTCAGCTGGGCGGGAGGAAATCCCCAGCATGTGTTTATGTTAAATCCCCAGCATGTGTTTATGTTACAGAGTGAGCATTTTCTCCCCCAAGTGCCTGTGCTGACTTTGCTCCAAGAACACATCCCGCTGTTTGAATGCCATCAGATGTGCTGTGAGAGGTACAAGCCCTTCCTCTCCCTCACTGAAGCAAATTTTGCATCCTCTTAGTCATTGTGCCAGGAGCCTCCATGGATCCACAGCCTGACATGGTGTAGGGTGGCAGGGGCTTCTTAGGAAATGGGATTTTCAGCAACCTAAATTAGAAATGCCACAAACTTCTCTCATTCCCAAAAAAGGTTGTGCACCTGTGTCACTGCTACCTCTGAAACACACCTGCTTCACCCATGAAGGGTAACTGTGTCAGGAAGAAGAAACAGACTCCTTACAAAGCTGGTCACCTGACCACATCATTTACAACCTGCACAAATCACCTTGCTCTCCTCGAACCACTCAGTGTGTCTGGAGGCATCAGTCCACCTCTGCTCACAGCAGTGGCATGTTGTGATTTGGAACATCTGGATTTATAAGCAAGTCAACAATGCAGTGAGAGAAATGATATTACCTTGTATAACAACGGCACAACTGGCATGTGATCGAAGAGCAGCACGTGGGGCTTGTTGTCTTTCCTCCAGTGGGACAGAAAGTGAATGTAGTTTTTATCTGTAATCTTTAGACAGAAGCAGAATGTCAGTTTAACCTCTGAGCTGTCAGACACCAGCAACGCTCTGCAACGAGTTGTCTGAACAAGGGCTGAGCCTGAAAAGGCTGTCCTGGTGTTGCAGGAAGCAGATGGTGGGTTGATCTTTCCAACATATATTCCTGATTAATGAGTGAATTAAAACCATCACTCTTGACCTCCCTCAGCCATCTTAACTATTGCATGCCATTCCAAGTCAATGCCTACACCACTGTTATTCTCCTGTTTGTTGAGACCATATTCTTTAAAAATGGGAACCCAAGGATTAAAAGACACCTGAGGGCTCCACTGAACCTGCTCTGTTTGAGGTGTGCTACCTCTCATAAAGGACATAAATGACTGCAGTTACTGTAGAAGGGGAAATGATCCCTATTTTTGGGGTGAGAAGTCAAATAACTCCAATACCCAGAAGACAAGTGAAGAGTCCATTGGGGAAGGTGACCCCTGGTAAAGATTCCAAGGGAAAATGAGGTGAGGTGAACAAGGCCACAGGCAGAGGCCAGGCAGGTAGAGTGCTGTGGGGGCTGACCCAGCCACATCACAGGCACAGTGGGCATTTTAGGACTCTGTCAAAAATCACCAGAAGGCTGAAACACAATAATATTTTATCAGTTAGGAGATTTTACTTGTGACTTTGAAAAGGCTCATGCTGCCAGCTCGTTTCAAAGGTCTGAAGGAAAACTGGACAAAACAAACAGGACTCCATGTCAGTGAGTTTTAGCAGACGTGACCTATGAGGTAGCAAGTGTTCCCTAATTTGCTGGATGAAATGCCAAGAAAGCAGGAGAGAAGTGAAATTCAGCAGGTTCCTGTCCCAGGGATAGCTTGGGTAGAGCCCTGGCAGCTGTGGGGTGTCACAGCTGGGGTCAGCTGCCACTAGAATCACTGGTGTGGCCATGTAGTAGCAGGATCCTCTTTTCAAGGACTAGTGTTACAGAGCTGCGGGGTGGGAATGCTTCTGACAGCTCCAGGGTTTGGAGCTTTGTGCCACAGATCAGCTTGGAGCCTGAATTAAACAGATTAACCACCAAAACAGCCAAGGAGAGGGATCTCCAGGCAGAGAGGAGCAGAAGCATCTGACACCCCTGCTAGAACCTACCTTTTCAACAAGATTCCCTGGCAGAAGGTTCTCCACGAACTGCCGCAGGTTTTCCCGAACGACAGCGTTGTGGAAGAAGGTTATTTTGCCATTAATGAGCCCCAGCAGGGTTGGAGTGCTGTGGGCACCCAGATGATGGGCGAGGCGCCGTTCGTACCCCGCATGAACAACGCCGATTCCTGCTCCTGGAAAAGGAGAGCACCGGGTTCACCTGTAAGATCCCCCACAACCCAAATGCCCAGTGCAAAACTGATGAACTGCTCCTTTGCCCAGCACCCTGCTTTGGAGTTAGGAATATTTGGGAGAGCATTAGGATAAAACCCTGAGGAAATCCACAGGGTCTAAACTGGGTCACACAAACCTGAAGGCAAACCACTGCAGCCTTACCAGGCGAGGGACACACACCCAGCCCCAACAACCTCATCCTTACCCAGAGCCTCCAATTCCTGAGCAACTTCCTTCCACACGGGCTCGATGTGGATGCAGCTGAAGCACCAGTCTGAGGTGATTTTAATGAGGTAAGGTTTCTTGAAGCTATCTGGCACGATTTCATTGATGTAGTGGGAAAAGTGGAGCAAATACTTCTCGTCGGAGGTGTCGCGCCTCTCGGAATTGAAAGGGAAATGGAAGAAGGACTCATCAAAATAGAAGCCATCGTGGAAACGGTGGAACTGGCGATGCTGCTGCTGAGAGAAGCCCTGGCTTTCCCCAGCATCTCCATAGCGATCAAAGTTTGCCCTCTTTTCCTCATTGGAGAGAATCTGGAAAGCAAATGATGGAAAAATGATTGCCTGAAACCATGAGGGGGAACTGCCCTGACTGTAATCCCTCAGTAAATAACGTAAGGAATGTGCAGCCTTTGCTGCACATCAGACAGATAAATATTTTGGAAAAAGGAAGCATCACATGCTTCTCGGCTCATTGTGGTAAATAAGGGTAAAAAACCCTCAAAGCTCAAAGAATAGGAGCCCCTAAATCCAGACTGCTGTTCCCACTTCTGTCACCAACAACTCCTTGGGTCTGAACATCCTGTGTTCTGAGTACAAACACTCTTTTCTTGAGTGGCTTTTGCTGGTGTCTCTTTGAATCTGGAGGGTTCAGAAAGTGCCAAAAGTTTCACTGAGCAGCCAGAAGCCCTGCAGAGAAACTGCATTTTTTAGCAGGAAATAAGGATTTATTTTGATTTCCATGGGCTTGGCTGCCACATACTGGAGCGACCAATTTCAAGAACGTGCAAATAACTACTGCTAAGAATAATTTGAGGTGACTAAATCCCTGTGATGATGAACGTTGCTTACATGACCCCAAAATGCTTTTATGTATGTGTGACACAGACAAGACGCTGCTCAGCCAGGCAGGGCTTGGGGAATACCCACTCCTTCCTTCTTTGAGGCTTTTTAGGCAGAGCAGGGCAGACTTGTAGCAAGGTATTTACAGTAGAAACCATGCTGGTGACCCCAGTGGCTCTGTCAACAAAGCTGAGCAAATTTTTTGTGTGGGTAATGTCCACCTCCACAGAGTCAAGCACCCTTCCCACACAGAAATACACTAGAAAACCATAAAGCCATGTATGGAAAACTAAGGTCACTTAAAGTTAATGATAGCAGGAGTTCACAGGAAGCATGTGTTACCTCATAGGCCTTGCTAATCTGGATGAATTTGTCCTCTGCTCCCGGGTCCTTGTTTTTGTCAGGGTGCCTGTGGGGCAGAACCAGAGTAAAAGAGGTCAGTGGGAGCTGTTGGCCTCTGTTTGGAAGTGAGGAGGACATGGGCAGTGAGGGCATGCACTGACATCCCTGAGGCTGAGATCAGATTTATACCCAGCACGTGCTGTCCCTGCCCAAACCCCATACCAAAATGCACTGGGATGTGGGCCATGTGTCTGTTGACCTGTCCCTCTGCCTGCTCCATCCCCAGCAGCCTGAGCCCAGGACACGGAGCGTGTCTCCTTCCTAGCAATGCCTCCCTTGGCTGCTGCCCTACATAACTACCAGGTTGTTCCTTGAATCACCTCCTGCCATGGCCTCGGGGATGTCTCACACAGAACAACATGGGCTCTAAAAGCTGCAGGTAAGCTTATTTTATTAATTTTACTTCTAAGCCGTAAGGCTGCCCCTCACCACACACCACCTGTATGAGGGGTGTGACGTCTGCGCATCCAACACATTTTCCTTCCACAGCACAGGGACTGAACGGCCCTTGGACATCCAGGTATCAAGCTGAGACTTCAACCCTTGTATATTAGAAGTTCCCAGGGAGAAATTTTTCTCCCCACTGCCAGATTCCAAGAGAACTTTTTCCCCCGTCACTTGACTCTGGAGAACTTTTTCCCCTTGTAGCCAGACTCCAGGAGAACTTTTCCCCCCACAGCCAGATTCTGGGAGAACTTTTCTCCCTGTAGCCTGATTCTGGGAGAACTTTTTCCCTTTGTAACCAGACTCTGGAAGAACCTCTTTACTTTAGCCAGACTCTGCGACAATTTTCCCTCCACAGCCACACTCCAGGAGAACTTTTCCCTCCATAGCCAGATTCAAGGAGAACGTTCCCCACCTGTAGCCAGACTCCAGGAGAATTTTCCCACCCTAGCCAGACTCTGGGAGAACTTTTCTCCCTGCGGCCTGATTCTGGGAGAACTTTTCCCCCCTCGTAAGCAGACTCTGAGCAAACTTCTCCCCCCGCAGCCGGGCTCCAGAGGCTTTTACAGCAGTATCGCTGGCATGGAGCATCTCCGTGTGTCAGGCTGACCGCCGGCCTGCGAGGACGCCGGGGCGCACAGCCAGGCGAGGCGGCTCATGCCACCGCGGGCCGCGGGGCCTGGCGTTGTCACCGAACCCAGGCCGGGATCCGCTCCCGGGGCCGGGCGGAGGGGACACAAGGGCAGCACGTACCATTCCCGGGCGAGCCGCTTGTAGGCCTTCTTGATGTCGGCCTGGCTGGAGCTCCGGCCGACCCCCAGCACGCGGTACGGGTCGAATTCGCCCGGCGCGGCCGCTCCCAGCGCCGGCAGCAGCAGGAGGAGCAGGAGCCACCCGGCCCGTCCCGGCGCCATGGTCCGGCGGGGCCGCGGGCGGAGGGAGCGGACGTGCCGCCCTCCCGACCGAGCGCCGCCGCTTCCGGCGCGCCCGCCCGCCGTCCCCATGGAGACCGAGCTCTTCCGGGAAAGCGGGGCTGCCGGCGGCGGGCTCGGAGGTGAGGCCCTGCGGAGAGGCCGTGGCGGCTCAGAAGCTGTGGCAGTGCCGTGGGTGGGTTCGGAATGGGGATGGTGGCGGCCGGGAGCGCCAGCCGTGTCCCGGCGGTATCGGGCCGGGGAGGGGATTGTCCCGTTCTGCTCTGCGCCGGGGCGGCCTCACCTGGGATGTTGAGGGCAGGTGTGGGCACCGCAATATAAGAAAGATACTAAGGTGTTAAAAAGCGTCCAGAGGAGGGCAGTGAAGTTGGTGAAGGGCCTTGAGGGGAGGAGGAGCAGCTGGGGGCGCTTGGTCTGTTCAGCCGGAGGAGACTGAGGGGAAACTCATCCCAGTTACAGCTTCCTCTGAGGGGAGAAGGAGGGACAGACACTGATCTCTGCTCTGGTGACAGTGACAGGGAGTGGCTGGAGCTGTGTCAGGGCAGGGTTAGGTTGGGCGTTAGGAAAAGGTTCTTCCCCCAGAGGGTGGTCGAGCACTGAACAGGCTCCCCCGGGAATGGGCACGGCAGAGAGCCTGTCTGAGTTCAAGGAGCTCCAGGGGACATGATGTGACTCGTGGGGTGTCCTCTGCAGGACTTGGACTCGATGATCCATGTGGGTCCCTTCCAACTCAGCATGTTCTGTGATTCTATTTTGGTTTTTTGCTAAGTCGTGTTTATCCAAAGTCAAAGATTTCTTTCTTGTCTCGTGCTCTGGCAGTGAGGAGGTTCACAAAGGAAACTGGGAGGGAGCACAGATGGGACGGATGACCTGAACTGGCCAAAGGGATATTCCACACCACAGAATGCCCAGTGTATCAGCTGGGGGAAGTGACTGAGAAGGAGCTGATCTGGATTCAGGAAGGGGATCTGACATCAGTCAGTGGGTGGTGAGCAACTGCATTGTGCATCACTTGTTTTCCCCTCTATTATTGTTGTTATTGTTATTTTGTTGTTGTTGTTATAATTTACCATTACTACTGTATTTTACTTTATTTTCAATTATTAAACTGTTGTTTTCTCAACATACAAGTTTTACTTTGATTCTCCTTCCCATTCCATTGGGGTGGGAGGAGAAGAGAAGGGGGGAGTTGAGCAAATAGCTGTGTGGTGCCCAGTTTCCAGCTCTGCTTAACCCACAACAGTTGGCTTAGGGAATGTGGGTTGGATGAGTGGGTGGTGAGGTGGATCAAAGGCTGTCTGAGTGGCAGAGCTCAGAGGGCATCATCCACTTGGAAGTCTACATCAGTGACTTCCCTGAAGATCTATACTGGGTCCAGTGGTCCAGTCTTAATCAACTTGTTTATCAACGATCTGGACAGAGTGATGGAATGTACCCTCAGCAAGTTTGGTGATGATATGGAACTGGGGAAGTGGCTGATCCACCTGAAGGTTGGGGACTGGGTGACACACACCCGGGGGACTGGCTGATCCACCTGAAGGCTGTGCTTCCATTCAGCAGGACTTTGGGAGGCTGGAGAATCGGACAGAGAGAAACTTAGTGATGTTCAACAAGGGCAATGCAGGTCCTGCCCCTGGGGAGGAGCAGCCCCAAGTACCAGCACAGGTGGGGGTGACCTGCTGGAGCATCTCTGCAGGAAGGACCTGGGTGTGCCATGGTCAGTGAACTGTCCCAGAGCCAGCAGAGTGTCCTGGGGGCCAAGAGGCCCTGGGTGCACTGGGAGGAGCACTGGCAGCAGGTCAGGGAGTGACCCTGCCCCTCGGGAGGCACACCTGAGTGCTGTGTCCAGCTCTGGGCTCCTGGGGCAGGGCCAGTGAAGGCTGCAGAGATCAGGAAGGGCCTGGAGCATCCCTCTGCCCAGGAAAGACTGAGGGATCAGGGGCTATTCAGCCTCGAGAGGAGACACAGCTGAGAGGGGCCCTCATCCCCGTCCCTGTCTGTCTCTGTCTGCAGGGAGGGCTCAGCCTCTGCTCCGGGGGGGCGGGCAGAAATGGCACAAGAGCAACGGGCAGGAACAGATGCACAGGAAGCTCTCTCTGAACATGAGGAAGAACTTTGCTGTGCGGGTGACACAGTCCCTAGAGAGGGCGTGGAGTGTTCAAGCCTGGAGATATTCTTAAAAACCCTAACAAAACACCAAAACACGGATGGAATCCTGTTCCGTTTGCTCTGGGATGGCCCTTCTGGACCACAGCAGGGCTCTTCCAGCCTGACTCCGTGTGTGATTCTGGGACTCCGGGGCGGTGGCGCTTCCGGGCAGCGAGCTGCGGTTCCGGGGCAGAGCTGCGGTGCCGGGCACTGAGCGGCGGCTCCGGGGCTTGTGCCGCGGTTCCAGGGTTTGAACGGCGGCTCCGGGGCTCAGCGGCGGTCCTGAGCAGAGCGGCGGTCTCGGGCACTGAGCGGCGGTCCCGGGCAGAGCCCGGCTCCGGCAGCCCAGGCTCCGGGGCCATGGAGGAGCAGCAGCGGCGGGCGCTGCGGCGCGGGCGGGCCCGGCTGGTGGCGGCGCTGCGGGTGGAGCCGCTCTGGGATCCGCTGGAGCAGCGCGGGCTCTTCACCCGGCCAATGCTGGAGGAGCTGCAGGTGCCAGGGAGCGGGACACTGAGCGCCGGGGTGGCCCGGGGAGGGTCTGTGTTTCCTGAGAGCCGGGGACGGGCATGGCAGGGTAGCTCCTGCATCCCCTGAACTCCGGTGACAGGACTGAAGGGTGGCCCCCTTGTCTGCTAACCCTGGTGACAGGTCTGAGAGGGGTGGCTCCGTGTTCTCTTGGGCCCAAAGGGAGAACCCATGTCCCCTGAGCCCGTTTACAGGTCAGGGGGGTGGCCCCCAAGACCCCTTACTCTAGTGACAGATGTGGGAGGGATTGTCCTGTGTCCGCTCAGGTCTAAGGGAGACTCCAGGTCCCCTCACTCTGGTGACAAGCTCAAAGCGGAACTCCATGTCCCTTTAGTCCTGGTGACAGGCCCAAAGGGATGGCCCTGTGTCCCCTCACTCTGATGACGAGGCCTTGGGTTGGTCCTTGTGCAGATAAGATGTTTGAGAACCACCCCACCCCCCGGCCAGACTTGGGGTGCTTCCTCTCCCCCTTTCCCTCTAGACCCCTCATCGGGCTGGGTGTCCATTGTTGGAGGGAGGTCAGGGCTGGGGGTCTGGTGGGGGTCTCTGGCTATTTCCACTCATTTTGTTGTTGTTTACCCCGTGTCCATGTCCTGAGTGCTCAGAGCAGTCGGAAGGGCTGCCCAGACACTGCACAAATCCCTGTTCTGGGTTTTTCTCTGCAGAGCGCTGGCAGCCGAGGAGAGCAAGCCCGGCAGCTGATCATTGACCTGGAGACTCGAGGGAAGCAGGCTTTCCCTGCCTTCCTCTCTATCCTGCGGGACACCGGGCAGGGCGACCTTGCCGAGATGCTGCTCCAGGAGTGCGAAGCCCGGCCGGTGCCAGCGCAGCTGCCCGACCTGCGGCCCGTGGAGCTGGAGCTGCAGGAGGAAAAACAGCGTAAAAGTCAGTGCTGAGGAGGCTGTCGTGTGTTTTTGGCAAACAGCAGCATGGGGGGTGGCAGCTGGGATTCCACCCACTGTGGGCAAGAGTCTGGGAAGTCATAATTTTTATTATCCTGGTAGAGGTGACTGTTGGAAGAATCATGGAATCCCAGAATGGTTTGGGTTGGAAGGGACCTTAAAGCTCATCTCATTCCATCCCCTGCCATGGGCAGGGACACCTTCCACTATCCCAGGTTGCTCCAACACCTGTCCAACTTGGTCTTGAACACTGCCAGGGATGGGGCCTCCACAGCAGCCTCTCGGGGCAGCCTGTATGTCCTGCTTTTCAGCAGTGGAACCTTTTGAGCTTGGACTCATCCTCTGTATTTTTGTCCCATGCCATTACAGATGTGACCCCTCGTGAACGTTTGTCTATCCCAGTCCAAGCTGAGAGTGAAAGACCTCGAATGCCTCCTGTGCCAGCCCGGGGTAAGCCACATTCCACTCCTAGAGCCACAGCATGCCAAAGGCTCGTTTCCAGTGTGGTGGGAAGGGGAAATTCATATGTATTGGGAAAGACGTGAACTCTAGGAGCATGGTCTTGTTGTGAAGTGTGGTGAACTGAATCCTGTACCTGTTTTGTGTTGTAGGTTCAGCTGTTGACAAGAGGAGCCATGACCAGGTTAGTATTTGAGAAGACTGAAAGTGTTCCCTACTAGGCAAAAGCTCCGTGTCTCATGAGTGACTCCAGAAAATATTTCTGGAGGAGCTGATTCTCACTTTGCCTTACCTGAGCAATTGCTCCAAGGCTGTAACAGGGCCAGTGGTCTCAGAGTGGATCAGTCATTAGCCAGATCCTCCTTAAGATTACCACAGTTATAACATAAATTCTTGGCTCCTTTTGGTGAGGTTTGATGATGATGCCTAAAAGAATTTCCCAGAAATTTCAACTTGCTCTTGGACATGCTACAGATAAAGCAGCAGCTGGTTTTCCACAAAGGCTTTCCCCAGTTTAGTGGGCTGTTTCTTGTTCCCACCTGCTGATGAGAAGATGTGTGTGGAGAAAGTGTGCTCCTACCCATCCCTAGGACTGGAGAAATTAAAAAGCTGTGAAATTAGCCAATTTAAGTACTCCCATTCCTCACTGATATTGTATCCTGCTGGATTAGCCAGCAAGCACTTGGCATAAGAGGGAGTTTAATTGTGATGTGTCCCTGCCAGGATTATGAGATGAAAGCGGATCCCTGCGGACACTGCCTGATCCTCAATAACGTCAGTTTCTCCAGAGACTCGGGTCTGTCCACCCGAGAAGGCTCTGACATTGACTGTGAGAAGCTGGAGAGGCGCTTCAAGGCCTTGCGCTTCACCGTCCTGACCCGGCGGGATCTGAAAGCTCAGGTGAGGCTGGGTGTGTCCTGCTGACATGAGGGATGAGAGGTGAGCCCCTGGAAGCAATGGGAGTGCTTTTGGAGATGTGTCTTGTGTTGGCAGCACACCAAAAAACCTCCCACAAAGAAACAATGAACCACTTGCATCCTGTTGCTTTATTGTTACGCTGCAATTGAAGAAGGGGAGAGGACCTTGCACATTTTCATTCTTCTGCATGAATGTTGAATCTCCTTTGGGATTTGTAGGGATTTGGTGAGGCTGTGCTTTTGGGATAGCTCAGACAGCTGTGTCATGTCTGTCTGTGCCATCCTTGGCTGTTACTGGAAGTGTCAGGGGGAATTTGATCATCTGAAAGTAAAACATGGTTCTCTGCCCACCCACCAGCTCCTGGTCAGAACCAGTGGATTTCGTCAAATAAATCATGTGGAAATGTGCTTTGGTTTGTGATGCTGTGTTGTAAAGAATGTAGAGAGGTGAGAAATCTATGTAATTAAATCAGCCAGTGTTAAATAAGGGCAGAGATGCAGAAATACTCACTCTCTGCCAATGGCTTTTGCCAGCTGTACTCGGAGTTCATGTTGTCCTGTGGCAGAGATTAACAGGATCCATGGCAGTGCAGTTAGAACAGGGCCTGGCAGTAACCTGTGGCTGAGATATGGTTCAAAAGACTCTCATTGTGATGTTTTCCACACAGGAAATGGTGTTGGAGCTGCTGAAGCTGTCACGGCAGGACCACAGTGCTTTGGACTGCTGCATTGTGATCATCCTTTCCCATGGCTGTCAGGTGGGTTTGTCCCATCTCTCCCTTTGTTCCTTAGGTGTGGGAAAGGGTTAATTCCCTGTCCTGTGGTCTTACACAGGGTGAGAGGGAAGTGGTCTGTCAAAACCTTGTTCTGCCTTTGCAGTACATTTCAAAGAGTTACACCCTTATTCTGGGTTAAAGAAAACAGGAGCTTCTCTGGTGTGGTCTGATCCAGTGGTGCCAGTGGACAAGTGTTTTCCATTTTAGAAGTTGGGGTTAATAATTTAGAACTGCATGGAGGTCCCACTCAGCCTCATGCTGTGGTGATTCAGTCCTTCCCATTCTCCAGCTATGACTGGGAGATGCTATTAGCAATAATGCCTGTTTATTCCAAGTCAGTTCTTAAAGGATGAGAAGAGGCATTCTTAGTAAAGTGGTGTATGGTATGTACTCATTGTACCAGAGGATGAAGAATTCCTTTGCTGGAGGATGTGGGATATGAGTTGGATAACAGAAGTTATGGGTTTTAGTGCATTTCAAACGTCTCCTGGATGTCCCCTCACCCTGACTTGGCCACAGGGATTCCCACAAACACCAGGATTTGTTCTGGTACCTTTATGCCATGAAGCACCTGATGGGAAATGGGCTCCCTTGGAACTGGCCTTGCCTTCCCTGTCACTAGCTCCTGCATTTTCCTCTTGCAGACGAGCCATATTCAATTTCCTGGAGGTGTTTACGGAACGGATGGAAAACCCATTCCCATAGAAAAGATTGTGAACTATTTCAATGGGTCCAATTGCCCGAGTTTGAGAGGAAAACCCAAACTGTTCTTCATCCAGGCCTGTGGTGGAGGTGAATCTTTGTGTTGGCTCCAGTAGCGTTGGGCTGCAGAGATGTGGTCAGGCTGTGGCTTTGGCTCCTTTTCTGTTCATTGACTGCCCCTCTCTCTAGCTGTCTTCTCACACCAGCTGCCTCTTCTCTTACTGTATGCTGAGAGGCCGCTCCAGCTCTTCACACACAGTGAGGAATTTTGTACAAACTACCAATGACTTTGACTCAACCAGTGCAGCCGAACAGCCAAAAAGCCTTACTTTGTTCTAGGGCCTTTTCCCTTTTCTTTCCCCATCCTTTCTTAATGTCGGATGTACAACTGTGACTCTCTTGGGTGGGATGAACATCAGGAGCTGTCTTGTTGCTGCTTTTTTCAGAACAAAGGGATCAAGGCTTTGTAGTGGACTGTGATTCGCCTGAAGAGGAAGCTCCTGGGGGTTTCTTGGAATCGGACGCGACCCCATTTCGGGTTTCATCAGATAACGTGGATGAGCCCGATGCCATTGCCAGTTTGCCCACACCTAGTGACATCTTGGTTTCCTACTCAACTTTTCCAGGTGAAACAGACGGTAAAATCCTTTTCTGAGCATGGGGGAATTAGCAAAACAGTTGGAGCTTCATGGCCAAAGACAGGGGCAATTCAGGACAACCAGGCTCTGTTGGAGTGGCAGGAACTTGTTGGGATGAGAACAGCAGATGAGTTTTGGCATAACATTCTCCTTCTTTCTCTGAAGGTTTTGTCTCTTGGAGAGAGAAGTCAAGTGGCTCGTGGTATGTGGAAACGCTGGACAGTGTGCTGGAGCAATACGCCCATTTGGAAGACCTGCTCAGCATGTTAGTGAGGGTAAATGTCCTTTTTGTTCTGCTTTTTGTTGATGAAGGAAATAGTCAGGGGTGTGATCAGCTGGGGCATGGAGGCCTACACTCAAAAAAGGAGTGAGGATATTGAGTGTTGAGTTTAGGGATGGGTTCACTGGAGGTACAGCAGAGAAGTTTAATTACAAAGAAAGTGTCTGGCCTCAATCTGCCAAAAAGCATTGGAGGTTTCTCCAGTGAGAAGTAATCTTGGCAATACAGGCTTTAATCCTTCTGAAAAAATTGCTAAAAAATGTCATGGCTTGTCCTATCCAAGCTGATGAGATTTGGGTGCTCCTGTAAGCTTGTCCTGGGGGTGGAGGAGCACAATGCACAGGGATATGGAACGAGTCTGGCTGATCAACATCTTCCTTTGTGTGCCTTGTTGACTCACTATTGCCAAAGTTGTGTACAAGTGTAGATGCCCCAGATACTTTTTCTGTTCTCCATGGGTAGGAGAAAAGTCCAGTGTGGAGGGAGAGAGGACTTACAGAATCACCTTGTTGTTTTCTGGTTGTTGTGGTGCTTCTTTGTCCTTGGCATGGCAGCCATTGATTCCCACGGATGGGGAGAGCATCCCATTCCTCAGCCTCTCTTCTGTTCCCAGGTGGCACATGCTGTCTCTGCCAAGGGGAGGTACAAGCAGATGCCGGGATGTTTCAATTTCCTCCGTAAAAAATTCTTCTTCATGTGCCACTGACACGTGGGCTCCGAGCCCCCTGCCAAGCACTGGAGATTCTTCCTGTGCCTGAATGAAATCTGTGCCCACCATGACTTGGTGTCAGTGCTCCCTGTGGATTTTGTCTGTGTGTCCAGATGTTTGTCTGGAGAAATGTGATCCGAGAGTGCTGGCTTTGCCATGGAGTGGAGATGAGATGGAGATTGTGCTGTGCCGATGGGAAATCTTGTGGATGGAGCAGGAAGTCCATTCGCTGGAGAACAGAGCCAGAGGAGAGCACTTCTGGCTCAGCCTGACATGACCACACTTGACCTCAGAGTGTTTTTCTTTGCTGATCATGATATTTGTGTCCTGTGCTGTCCAGGTAACTGATTGAGGGGACCAGGGTCTGATGTTCAAGTGAAATGGGATGAGTTTTGCAGTCAGTGTTTCTAATAAATTCAATTAAAGAGCAAATCTTTAGCTGTATTCCCTTGTCTGTTCCATCTCCTCATTGCCATTTCAGCACCTCCTGAAGGCTCCTCTGAAGTGGGAAGAGTAGGAACCTTCACTCATGTCTGTGCTGCTCTGTGTGGTCATTTACAATGTGGCTGTGCCAGCCTATGGAGCATCCTGCTCCTTTTGAGGAGTCATTTGGGAGTTACAGCAGGAAACCAATGAGGATTCATTGAAACATCAGTGCTGAGGTAAAGTTCTTAAGGAGCTGCTAACGTGATGGCCTTGGGTCAGAAATCCTGCATCTGTGTTGGATTTTGAGGGGGGAGAGCATCCTTGGAGCCACTCTTGTGTGGTGCAGAGGCCTCAGGGTAGGTCTGTACTGAGGGGTGCTTGGGGATTCCCAGGGAGCCTGGCAATATCCAATCTGCTTTTTCAGTCACTGAGTATTTCCACGCTCCTTTGGGAGCATTTCAGGTGTTTTGAGGGGGCTGCAGGAAGAAGCCAGGGCTGCCCTGAGCACCCCAAGGAGGGTCCAGCTGGAGCTGGATGTGGATGTGATGGCCTTGCCTGTGCTCAGGTGTTTGTGAGAGCTCATGGTTGTCTTCTTCTCTATTCCCCTTCTCCATCCCCCAGGGGAGTGGGGCCTGGGCTGCCCTGTCCCATGTTGTCCAGTTTTGTACAGAGCATCTGGGTGTGCAGGTGATCCCAGGGCTGATCCCATCTACCCTGGACCTGCTCATCTTCAGGAAAGGTGACCCTGCACTCTTCCCCTTGTTTATTTCCCCACTTCCCTCACTTAGGAAGCATTGCGAGGGGGGTAGGGGTGACTTTGGGTAGAGATGGCTCAGCCTTGTCCCTCTCCTTTCCATGACATGGACTGCAGTGGCTGCTCCTTCCCCAGGACATCCCTGGCAGAGGTGAGAACAGAGTGGGAGCACTCCAGCAGCACAGGTGGTGGAGGAATGTAGTGGGGCTGCAGAATGACCCCCAGGACCAACCCAGTTACCTCAACACCCCATTATAAATCATTGCCATCAAGTAGCCCAGTTACCAGCAAGACCCCCTGAAACATCCCAGCACCAGCCAAGAGACCTAAAACCTCCTTGGGCCAACTAGGGGCCCTATAGCCCCTCCCCAAGTTCCCTAGAGCCCCCCAGGACCACCAGGCTTGATTCCAGCCACTCTCCCATCAAACCATCAGCCAAGCCTTGAACCCTTTGGTTTGTCTATGGCCATGGCTCTACTCCTAGCTGGGAGTACCTTGTGGGATCTCTGCCCACCTTAGGCTCCCCAGGAGCCTGCCCAGCCTCACTGCACAATGTGGGGGCTCTCCCCAGCACACAGGCAGAAGCCCAGCACCACAAGGTACATCCCCTGGCTCTGCTCCACCGCGTCCCCTCGAAAGAACCACACGAGACCAGCTTAGCACTATTGCCTTTATCACACTCGGTACTTGTGCTCCATGCTGTGTCCTCAGTTCTCGCTCATTTTCTGCCAGAGAAAGACACGGGGAGGCTCATGGTGAGACCACTGGCAGGGCAGGGGCAGTGTGGCCAACCTGCATGGGGGCAGAGGAAGGGGCACCCACCTCGTTGATCCAGTCGATGTAGGCAGACACCCGGGTGAAGACTGTTGGCTTCTTTTTCATGTTGCATTTCAGGCCGGAGCCGAAGCTGACGATGCCCTCGACCTCCCAGACCCCGTCATCGCGCTGGCAGTTCAGGGGGCCTCCAGAATCGCCCTGTATGGAGAGACAGTGTGGGCCACTGCTCCTGGGCACCCTGTTGGCACACCCCACATCCAACACAGCACTGACGTAGACAAGAAAAGAAAGGCCTTATGAAATCAGGCCTCACACTGCTAAAACTGCCAAAGCTGACCTGTCATTTCTTCTAAGTGCAGCTAACAAGTGATTTGCAAGTTCCCATGTGAAGCTATTTTAGGAATGAGAGGTTTGTTTAACCCAACAATCTGTTCTGAGGGTGAGAAACAAATGCACCTCTGTAAACAATAAGATCTGTCCCATGAGAACCCACAAAGGAAAAATGGAAACATGTCTAGAGAGAGAAAATTTGGTAGACATATCCAATAGCGCTTATCAACCAGTGAACTGAGTTTCACTGTATTGCTGACCAATTAGGTTTAATACAGTGCCTTCTGATATTTCCTATAAATATAAGCTTTGTGAATAAGAATTGTCTTTCTGCATGAAGGAAATGGAGTTTTGGCTGATTTATTCCAACATGCCACTGCAGCAGCTCCATCCCCTTCCCTCCTGTGCTTCCCATGGAACCCGTTGCCCTGCATTGCTTCAGCACCATTGTCAGTCCTCCTCTGGGCTGGGGGCAGGTACCACCCAGCAGTGCCCACACTCACGTTGCATCCAGAGACGACGCCGTCACCGCCGGCACACACCATGGTCTCAAGCACAAGGTCGCCCCACCAGTCCCACTTGGAGCAGGTCTCATAATCCACCACGGGCAGCAGAGCCTGCTGCAGGGCATCGGCCAGGGGCCCGTTGGCTGCAAGGACAGTCACACCTCACACTCTGCAAATCCCCTGCCCAGGGACCCATGGGGACCCTTCCAGGGACACCCCACTTACTCCTGACACGTCCCCAGCCGGTGACATAGCAGGGGTAGTCGTTGGGCAGGACCTTGTCAGCAGCTGGCAGGCAGGCGGCACGGATGTTGTCAGTCTCCTGCACCTCCTCTGCCAGCTTGACCAGGGCAATGTCATTGCTAGAGGGGAACATGAACCATGAGGAAGTGGTCCCTAGCTTTGTTGCCCCCCACCCACTCATGGATATATTCCATCCCTACATGACAAGAATAGAGTTCCATTTCTCGTGCACAATCGTCTTCTCCACAGCCACGGCCACAGAACTGGGCTCATCATCCTCTGACAGGTCCTGCTTGCCCAGCACCACACGGTAGGTCATGGATGGCTTTCCACAGTGTGCTTTTCATAGTCACCAGTAATGTGAGATGTTTTCTACTTTGGGACCAATCTGGTCCGACTTAGCGAGTGAGACTCTAAAAGCTCATCGCTTCTTGCTAATAAAGGTTCTTCTAAAGCCTTCTGATCCACCTGAAGCCTGGAGTCTTTCTTTCTGTCCCTGACTCAACAGTGTCCAATCCCATCCCCCCTGGACCTGTTTTCCTTTGGGAAAGGTGGCTCTGCACTCTTCCCTATTGGAATGTCAGGAGACACAAGATGGAAGATGGACTTCAGACCTAGTTAACATAAGAGATTTTATAACAGGATGCCTTGGCAAAAGCAAAGGGAACTTTGGAAATTAGACCTAGATTGCAAGAAGATTCAATCAGACGGGTTTACCGGGAAAAGAAAATCCCATTAAACTGTGCAAGCAAGAGATGTTGTTATGTGCATAAGTTTGTGTATGTGGTTTTAACCTAATCATTGTAGTACACATTACTAGTCTCCCTGAAATAGTATATAAGCATTTGTATCCCACAATAAAATCGGATTCTGATCACCGAGTCAGTCTCCCTGTCTTTTTCCATTGCTGACCATTGGTACCTCCGTGTGAGGAAATGAACTGGCCTGACTGGCAGCAGTTGGCGAGCCCCTGGAACTGATCGTGACAGTGAGAGAACCACGTCTGGGCCCACAGTCCCTGTCTGCTGCAACTGACAGGTGAGCCAGGGAAATAAAAAAGGAACTAAAAATTGGAAAGGAAATGTCCAAAGAGAGAGACGTCTATGGAACCATGCTCACCCTTCTGGGCAGGCATGACTTCCCCATGCCAAAGCAGGACCCTAAGTCACTTTTACTCCCATTCCCGAAAATTCTTTTTAAGACATTGAAAAAGCGAGAGCGGCTGGATGCCACCGCCCTCCTACCCCACTCTGTCTCTCCACACTACTTTCTTTGTGTGCGGGAAATCTTGGCATCTGAAAAAGGACTGTTTCGAAAAGGGGGAGGCCAGATCCAAAACTCCCAGTATTTGCCCTCAGTGCCATAATCAACATCAGTCCAAGTATGATTTTGAAGGGTGTCCAGTATTGGGAAATGGGAGCATGAGCATGGCACCACGTGAAGAAGCAGATGCCCCAGCTGATGCCGCAGAGTGGACGAAGGCTCAGCCCAGCCGCCGCCCCAGGCAGCCTTCGTCAGACCACAGGCAGCTCTGGCCGGACTGTTACCGACCAGCCACCCCAGGCAGCGCAGGCACGGACCTAGCAACCTCCAACACAGTAACATTGCTGGATTGATCTGTTCATTTGATTCCCACAGGAGTTTTCGGACCACCTGGACAGTGTATGCCTACTTTGTTTGTTTATTCTCGCTGGTGAAGTGATACGCGGAATAAATAGACTCCACAAGCGGGTGTAGTTATGAAGTGGGTATGTATTGTCAGCGCCCGGCACAAGTGAGATAGCTCTCGTGGAAACTTGTGCCCTGAGCCCTGGTCTGAGCCCCATCTTTATTCACGAAGGTCTTCCATATACATTACATTGCACAACCTTGCCATGCACCTTCAACCCCTGGCCCTGCCTGTCCTTGCCTGGCCAGGTAATTAGATCTATGCCTGTCACGATCCGTCCTGGGGGACAAGATTCGTGAAGGTTCTTTTCACTGATCTCAGGGTGCAAAAACTGACACCAAAAGGGGGTTTTGCAGTAAAATCAAAACAAATGTACTTTTATTGAGTAACCATAGCAAAAATGCGTTAGGGAGAAGGGGAATGAAGAGAAGGGAAAGAATAAAGAAAAAAGAGAGAGAAGAGAAAGGAGGTGTATAGCTACCAGATGTGCGGATGACAAAGTCCTTTGAAGTCCAGTCGACGAAGAGCCTGTCGTCTTCATGTCAGGAGTGATCTCAAAGGGTACCAGTCAGCTCTAACCTCTTTTATAGTCCTTTTTGATTGGGGGAAGGACACACACATTTCAAAATAGTCTATTGAGAAAGGGAACAAAAAGTCCATCAGCAGTCCATCAGCAGAAGGCGTCGTACAGAAAGTCCATCAGCAGCAGGCAAGAACCATTGTCTTCTCGGTCCAGTGGTCACTTGCAAATTTGCTTTGGTTACCGGGCCTTTCCCGCACACGCCTTCCCCCCACCCTACAGTAGGGATTTCAGTCTCAGTCTTCTAGGGAAGAAAAGGGGGGCTTTTCCATGTAGGGGTCGCATGTCTCAGTCCTTGAGGGGAGAACCTTCTCCCCTCTCTGTCACGGTGGTTGATGTGAGGTGAATGGAGGGTCTTTTTGTGATGACCACCGAAAAGGTCATTCCAGAGAGAAAGTCCAGCCAAGTCAGGAGGGTGGAGAAATTCCAGGGCCAGCGTTGCTAAGTGATGCAGGCGAAGGAGAGCACACTGCCCCTTCTCGGGTGCAGTGTTCCATGAGTCGAGCAAACACACCCGTAGACAGTAATTTGGCTTAGTGGACCAGTCAGACCTGGATTTTCAGAACAGGATCTTTTCCTTTCCCTGGTGGTCTCAACTTTCATGACGATCAAGAGGGGTGTTTAAGGTGCATTCTTTGCCACTGTCTTCAACGCTCATCCCTCCCTTCCCAGTGGAAAACATTGCACTGGTGTACCAAGGTGTCACGATCCGTCCAGGGGGGAAAAGATTCGTGAAGGTTCTTTTCACTGATCTCAGGGTGCAAAAACTGACATGACAAGGGGATTTTGCAGTAAAATCAAAGCAAAAATACTTTCTTGAGTAACTACAGCAAAAATGCGTTAGGGAGAAGAGGAATGAAGAGAAGAGAAAGAATAAGGAAAAAGAGAGAGAGAGAAGAGGAAGGAGGTGTGTAGCTACCAGATGTGCAGATGACAAAGTCCCTCGAAGTCCAGTCGACGACGAGCCTGTCGTCTTGACGTCAGGGGAGTTCTCAAGGGTACCAGTCAGCTCTAACCTCTTTTACAGTCCTTTTGATTGGGGGAAGGACACACACATTTCAAAATAGTCTATTGAGAAAGGGTACAAAGAGTCCATCAGCAGAAGGCGTCGTACACAAAGTCCATCAGCAGCAGGCAAGAGCCATTGTCTTCTCGGTCCAGTGGTCACTTGCAAATTTGCTTTGGTTACCGGGCCTTTCCCGCACACGCCTTCCCCCACCCTACAGTAGGGATTTCAGTCTCAGTCTTCTAGGGAAGAAAAGGGGGGCTTTTCCATGTAGGGGTCGCATGTCTCAGTCCTTGAGGGGAGAACCTTCTCCCCTCTCTGTCACGGTGGTTGATGTGAGGTGAATGGAGGGTCTTTTTGTGATGACCACCGAAAAGGTCATTCCAGAGAGAAAGTCCAGCCAAGTCAGGAGGGTGGAGAAATTCCAGGGCCAGCGTTGCTAAGTGATGCAGGCGAAGGAGAGCACACTGCCCCTTCTCGGGTGCAGTGTTCCATGAGTCGAGCAAACACACCCGTAGACAGTAATTTGGCTTGGTGGACCAGTCAGACCTGGATTTTCAGAACAGGATCTTTTCCTTTCCCTGGAGGTCTCAACTTTCATGACGATCAAGAGGCAAAGAATGCGGGAAATTTCGGACAGACACTCACAACGCCCTTTTGGCATGCGTTGTTCACGGTGGCGGTCTCACGGAGGTGTTTCGGTGGTCCCTGAGGCTGAAGGCCGTGGTCTTCCTCATGATTGAACTTCTGAACTTTTCTCCTTTGTGCGTGCGCTTTGGTCCCTTGGTGCTTATCTGAGTATGTCTGTCGATTTTGATCACCTTGGAGACAGAGGAGCCCCTTTATCTAGGTTTCTTGCATCCCTTGGTCTTTTCCCGGTATTGTTCTTTATCACAAGAAGCTTCAGAAATTTACATTTTCCTATGCCCTTTGTACCATAGCAGAGGTTTCTTAAGTAAAAGGTTAAAATTCAACACACAGCTCTACAAGCTAAAATTTAAATGCTTAATTCATAATGCTAACTTAAGCGAACGCCCAAAACCTCTTATTTCACTGGAGCTATTGACTCTGACTCCTGACATGGACTCCCCATCCGCTCTGTGTAGTCCCAGCTGGGAGCCATATATCCCAACTCATATTTTTTCCAGTAGCACCCCTATCTGCAACCCCCATAACTGAGAAGAGAGAGGGGGGTTTCGGTTCTACAGGAGTCCCGCAGATTTTTTGCTTCCACAGGTCTCAGTGTCCCATGTGCCAATGCAAAGTACTCTGAAAGGCAGAGACACTCCTAACAGGGCTCATTGATACAGGAGCTGGTGTGACATCTCCAAAAGCCAGCGGCCCACTGATTGGCCATTAACTCTCCCGCGTGGGTGGGAATAGTGAAAACCTTTGAAGCCAACACTCGGAGCTGGGGAGATTGCCTCACAAAGTTGTGAAACCACAGATGGCAGCAGAGAGAAACACCTAATTAACAAACTAAAAGACATGGCTTCTACGGAGATGGGAGATGGGCTCTTTCCTGAGAACAGTCCAGGAAACATCCAAGCGATGAATACTCGATAAGCATCTGCAATCAAGATAGCCAGAGTCAACAGGAACCTGCATCCCAACACCAGGTTCCCATAACTAGATTATCAGCATTCATTGCTTCCCAGAAACGGTTTTGTCCAGCCTGACACAGAGAAAGGAGACTACATGAATATGTGAAGCCATGGAAAGAAAAGGAGAGACTCTGCCCCAGGTGGAAAAAACTGTATAAAAATTTCCTGGACAGGGACAGCCTTTGTGAACAGAGGGGATCTGAAGCGGTAGAGTTCGGATCAGAGTTCACCCAGTGCCGATCCCGGTCTTGACGCTGTCCTTTTGATTGTGGCTATTGGAGACCATATCTCGAAATAAAATCTATTTTATTAATTATTAATTCAGCTTTATAATTTATTACCTATAACAATCTTGGTGACTCTGATGTGATCTGATTTAGGGGTCTGGGGACCCCCTTCCTCCAGTCAGGAGGTGCCCCACTGATTTCAGCAGCCTGACAAGGTTGGTAAACCCTGTGGA